TTTTTTTTGGCAGGTAGTGTTTCTTATTGTCTTGCACACTTTTTTTTTTTATTTTACATTCAGAATGCTTTAAAATTCCATTTACAAGACAATTGTTTATAATAAAATTCTATTCAATCGATAGACCCATAACGATTGAAAACAATGTTTTTGTTTGAGTTTGGGTTTGACCAATTCGTAAAAAAAAAAAAACTATTTAAGACATGTTTGTCCGTCAACCTTAAACAATAATCTTTGTCAATTTTATTTTTCAGTCTTTATGATGGTCGATACTTGATCTATCTCTTACTGTTACATCCCCGGGCAACGCCGGGCTCTACTGCTAGTTTCTAATAATTACTATCACATAAATGTATTGCGTTTTCTACAAATTAAACATTGGTTCAGTCGGAGTCATTTCCACACCTGATGATTATACTTTGTAGGTGTTCTCATTGCGTTAAAGATGCGAGACGAAACCAAAAGCGGCCGTTATAAAAGTCAGTACCTTCGGTGTTTTTTTTTCCTTTGCGCTACAGAACCGATTTTTCTACCCAAGTATGAGGTTTCTGACACTAAGATTCTCTATTTTTTCATTGATTTTAATCAGGACGGAAATTCTCAAATAAACCACACTACAAGACATGTGATGGATTAATGCGATTTTTCCGATATCAGGAAATATTCCCATCAAGAACGGAAGACGTTCATCTCAGCTAAGCAATAAACACGAAGCAAAAAAGCATATGAAGGCAAGATTCAGTTGGTCAGAAAAGTATAAATTATGGGATGGAGATCACATCCACGATGAAACTAGGGCGCAGCTGAATTCTAATAAATGGGAAATTGCCTGAAAGCCTCCAAGAAAACAAAACGTCCAAGTTATAAAAACCGTTTGATACTTTTGAACAATATGATCCATTGAATACTTAGATAAAGGTGAAATTTTCAACATGACGAATTGCGTGCAATACACTAGAATCTGGCTGCTTAAGTTATCGCTATATCAAAAGACTGGGCAGCTCAGATCGCTGATTAAATTATCATCGGGCAAATGTAAACAAAACTAAAGAAAAGAGTTCAGAAGAATCAACGTAAACATCAAGATCTGTGGGAGGTCAGCCACAGAGAAAGGCAACTCATACCTGTAAAGATAGTGAAGGATTTGTACGCAATCTCAAAGAGTTAAACGAAATGTTTAACAATGCGCAGAAAGTTACTGAATTAAATATTATGTTATAAACTTTTATTGTAGACATTTTCCTCTTTTAAAATACTATATCACTAAACTTTTGCACTGCTATTATTAAAACCTGCGGAACCTTACCCAAAAGTTATGGAATCCCTGATAAGGGACAACAAGTCACTGCAAATAATGATGAATAAATGTAGAATCGAATAAAATATATTGACATGATTTTTTGAAGAATAAAGTCAATAAATTCTGGTATTTTTCTCTTTTAAAACACTATATCTCTAAAATTTTATACGACTATTTTTGAGATCAATTCGTTTTGCATCTTCCCTTCTCATTAAGAACGTTTGCTAGAAAAATAACTATTACTTTAGGTAGGAAATAATTTTCGTTTCAGAGAACGAATTGTAATGACGACTGTATCATCGTAACTGCTTATCATACACAGAATAGACTAACATATCTTAATATTTGCGCGGTAGTGGCAGCGTATATCGTGGATAAAAGGGGAAATGCTGTCCCCTTTCATCATAAAGCAAGGCTGCGTATAGAAATCATAAGACAAGAAAAAAAACTTCAAAACTCGGTTGGCCTGTTCTACTCAACCCACGATATTCACCTGACCGATTATATTCGATCGTTTTAATGGGGAACAATTTATGTAATGATAAAGAGTTCAGCAAAAAAAATTTCAAATTAAAGCCTGCGTAAATTTACCCAAAATGGATGGAATAACTGCCTGATAAGCGAAAATCATTGGAAATAATGATGAATATCTCTAGAATCGAATAAAACGTATTTTACATGACTTTTTGAAGTTTTAAAGTCGATAACTTCTGAATTTACTTATGACTCAACCTAATATATATGGAAATGATTGATTCGTATTATACGACTTATCAACACTTTGCAGGTTATTTAAAGCTAGACATTTTTTACATTGTAAGAAATGTTTTTGGCGATAATAATAGTTTATTGATAAAAGTTTTTCTAATTAACCCATAGCAGGGGAGAAAAGGTGAATTCATACGTTTTCCTAAGGGTATTTTCACGTAAGTGAATATAACGAATCCAATAAGAATTGGAACTCGGCTCTCCGATTAACAATTCCGAGACATTATTCATTACACCACCCGCACATCCAAGTTTACAGTACCTGGTATTCCCAGCAGATAATGATCAGGCTCAATGTTGCTTTACTTCGGTGATCGTACTGGAACCCGTATTTCAACATGATTTGGCCGTAAGCCTATATGAAAATGAATATGTCAAGACCAATATTTAGTCTTCAGAGAACGCGAAACAAAATATCCATAGGCATTGATTAAAAGTTTACAATAATTTGAATTTTTCAGATATATATATATATATATATATATATATGCATATATTCTATCTATCTATCTATCTATCTATCTATCTATCTGTTGCAACCTAGAAAGAGTTACTGAATGAGGAATACCCAAAACGGAAGTTGGAAATGAAATGGTAATCTTTATATCATCAACAAAATACAATACTCACCAGTGGCGTCAGGTAGTTAAACCACAGCTAGTGGTGGACTACTTAGACAGCATATTATCCCCACTTACAATAGTGTCCAACATATTTATAAGGATTGAGACATACACATTAGTGTTTATAGGTATGGTATATAACACTATCTATCTATCTATCTATCTATCTATCTATCTATCTATCTATCTATCTATCTATCTCAGACCCTTCATTATCTATCTATCTATTTCAGTTCCTTTATTATCTATCTACCTATCTCAGACCCTTCATTATCTATCTATCTATCTATTGCAGGCTATTCATATCTATCTATCTATCTATCTATCTATCTATCTATCTATCTCAGCACCTTTATTATCTATCTACCTATCTCAGACCCTTCATTATCTATCTATCTATCTATCTATCTATCTATCTATCTATTGCAGACTATTCATATCTATCTATCTATCTATCTATCTATCTATCTATCTCAGTTTCTTAATTATCTATCTACCTATCTCAGACCCTTCATTATCTATCTATTGCAGACTATTCATATCTATCTATCTATCTATCTATCTATCTATCTATCTATCTATCTCAGACCCTTCATTATCTATCTATCTATCTATTTCGGTCTGTTCATTATCTACCCATCTATCTTAGTCTGTTAATATCTATCTATCTATCTATATATATATATATATGTATATTTGCCTGTGTTGAGATTAATTTCTTTTTGTTATTTCTGTCTCCGTCATACATTTTTCTGTCTGTATCTCTCTAAGAATAGTTGTGTTCTTCTCTGTCTCAATTTCAGCATTCTTAATTTTTGTAATTTTATCTATACATATATACCTCTAAAAGGTCTATGCAGAAAGCAGTTTCTAATCATGCACACGTGAGAGCTTTAGTGGGTAGCAGGCTTTCACATTTTCTTGTTTCCCTCTTAAATATCCCTCCCATCTATCCACTTCTTCATGCACGTCGGGTCCGCCACATCAACCCCTGAGTCGTTCCTCACGAGATAAGAATCCAAAATAAACAGATTAGTTTACAAATAAAACAGGTTTTCTTTTAATTACTTTTCTTTAATCAGAATTTCACAACAGGGAAAGAAAGGAGTTGGAAACGGTGAAGAAGAAGAAGAAGAAGAAGAAGAAGAAGAAGAAGAAGAACGATGAGGAGAGGTAGTAGGGTGAGATGAAAAAAAAGAAGAACAATGAAGAAAGATTATGGTGAAAAGGAGAAGGAAAAGAAGAAGAACGAAGAGGGTGCGTAGAAAAAGAAGAAGAAGAAGGAGGAGGAGGAAGAGGAGCCGGCGAAGGAGGATGAAGAGGAAAAGGAGGAGAGTAAGAAGAAGGAAGAGGGGACGATGAGGAAAGGGAGGTGTGAGTAGAAGAAGTTGAAATGATAAAGAAGAGGAGGAGGAGGAGGATTAGAAAAAAGTAAAAGAAGAAGTTGGAAACGCTGAAGAAGTTTTTAATGAAAAAGAAGAAAAAGTAGAAGAAAAAGAAAAAAGGAAGAAATTTGCAACGGTGGAGAAGAAAAAGGTTTGAGATGGGGAAAAATGTGATAGGAAATTAATATTGAAGAAATATGAAGAAAGGGCGCAGAAAACAGAGCAATTCAAAAAGGAGATGCAAAACACAGGGAACATATATATATATATATATATATATATATGTGTGTGTGTGTGTGTGTGTGTATATATATATATATATATATATATATATATATATATATATATGTTTGTATGTATAGAAAACTAGTTTGCGAGAAGGAAGACTAATAAATGCAAGAAATCAGACTTCATAGTCGTCAGCAAATGTAGAATCCCCCCCCCAAATATGAACCTCGTATCGGGGATATTAAAATCATGCACAGGTGCAGAAACTTAATTATTTGGGTCTTGTAATAACAAACAACGGAAAATGCGACCCAGACATTCACAAACTTCCCAAGTATAACGAAAAATGCTTTCCAGAAACCAATAAAGAAGTCTTAGTTAGAAAGAAAGAAAAGAGAGCTACACAACTCTTGTCATATTTACAGTTGATGAAGTTGGTCGTTTTTATTTAGCATATCAACCTTTTATAGGCTATTTAACGATGATATTTAAATGTTTTATACGCAATTTTTTGAGATGATAATGGTTTAGTGATACAAGTCTAACTGATTAATCCATAGCTTGGGGGAAAGTAGGTCGATTCATACCATTCCCAATTGTCTTTGCTCGTAAGAAAATATAACAAAGCCAATACGAACTCGGTTTTCCGATTACCAATTCCGAGCCATTATTCTTTACACCACCCGCACATCCATGCTTACAACATCTGATATTTTCAAGCAGTCACTCCATCTAAGAACTGGCCAGACTCAACGTTGCTTAACTTCGGTGATCGTACGAGAACCGGTGTTTCAAAGTGATATAACCGTAAGCCACAGTTGGAAACGGTGAAGAAGAAGAAGAAGAAGAAGAAGAAGAAGAAGAAGAAGGACGATTATGAGAGGAAGGAGGGTGAGAAGAAGTAGGAAAAGAAGAAGAACGATGAGGAGAGGTAGTAGGGTAGATGAAAAAGAAGAACGATGAAGAAAGATCATGGTGAAAAGAAGAAGAACGAAGAGGATGCGGATGAGAAGAAGAAGAAGAAGAAGAAGAAGAAGAAGAAGAAGAAGAAGAAGAAGAAGAAGAACGATGATGCGAGGAAGAAGAAGAAGGAGGAGGGGTGGGAAAGATTAAGAGAAGGAAGAGAGTAAGAAGGAGGAGGAGGAGGAAGAGGGGATGATGAGGAATGGTATGAATCCACATACTTTCCCCCAAGATATGTATTAATCAGTTAGACTTGTATCACTAAACCATTATTATCTCAAAAAATTGCGTATAAAATATTTAAATATCATCGTTAAATAGCCTATAAAAGTTGATATGCCACTAAATAATGATTAAACATAATAGACATTCGTTGTCTGTTGTATTTAAAAATAGATGTTTCAATGATAATACAATAACAGATAATACCGTAGTTCAGTGCTTCATTGCGTACGACTCTGACGTTGAGTTCTGCCACTCACTTTGCGACAACCGTTCCTATGAGCAGACGTTCTACTCATAGAGGATGAACGAATCCATATTTGACAATTAGTGTAGAAAAGGTCGGTCGTCTTTCTTCACAACAATCTGCGAATTGCTTTGTTTTCTTCGCAAAGATAGTGGAAGAGTTTACTGTTGCTTTCTCCTTGGTTTGGAAATGGGAAGTGAACGGATTGTCATTCAATTCTAGTCCAGGCTAACCTGTTGTTTAAACATAAATCTGTTTGGAGAATAGATTTCGCAAAGGAGTGTAGCAAGAGGTGCGGAAATTTGAACTCAGCCAGCAAGCTTCAATTTTCTGCGACGATAATGGTTACGTTATCCTTACACACTAACGAATAATACTTTGCGTAAAAATCTAGACTGCAAAATAGCAAAGGAAGTACATTAACCAAGGAGAAATTTACCTTTTTCCTCAAACTATTAATAATTTCATATTCTATGTGCCACGTCCTTTAAGCGACGATGGCTGTCCACATCTTCCTGTCGTTTTTTGCTCTAAGTAACTTTTGACCATTTACCATCTCTCTTTGTCCTTGATTTCCCTTTCTTTCTCTCAAACTCATCAGATAGGTGATTGTGGCTCTCCACATCTTCTTGTCTTTTGTTGTTTTAATTAACTTTTGACACTTTACTATCTCTCTTTATCTCTATTCTGCCATCCATTCTCTCAAACTCATTAAGTAATCATAGCCCTCCATATCTTCCTCTGTTTTGTGGCTCTAAGTAACTCTTGACACTTTACTATTTTTGACCTTGATTTTCCTTTCTTTCACTCAAACTCATTAGATAGGTAATCATGGTTCTCCATATCTTCCTGTCTTTTTTGCTTTAACTTTTGACACTTTACCATCTTTGACCTTGATTTTCCTTTCTTTCACTCAAACTCATTAGATAGGTGATCATGGCTCTCCACATCTTCCTGTCTTTTAACCCTTTATCATCTGCAATTGCTATTTTCCTTAGAATGTCCTAACTGCTCACAGGTTTTTTTCCAGTATTCGTCAACAGAACAACGTTTCTCTAGTTTCAAATCTCTTCTTCGTTTATGAGACTGTTTTCTTTAATAGAATAAAATAAAGAAAACTCTTTCCTTTAAAGGGATTCTTAAATTCATTAAATAATCACATTTTGTGAAATTGAACACAGAATATGCCCCGCCATGAGTAGTTTTGCATAACACCACAAGTTGGTATATAACCAAAATATTAACCTAAAAACTTAACTTATGTTCTTAAATAGCCACGTCAGATCGAAATCTTAATCTGGATGCCATGCCTGACGCTAAACCGTCCAGAAATATCTAGACTATCAGTTGTATGCAATTGCTTTCTAAGGTCGATGATTAAAGGTGGCTTTGGGTGAATGAAGCCTGTAGGAGTTAGTGAGGATCATCCTTCTTCGAGTTTCATGGAATGGTGACAGAATCATAAGCAAATGACTTTACCAAATAACAGAAGCCACATCTCTTGAGAATTACCAACAGCAGCAACAAAAGGAATAGCACATGTAACTCGGAGAGAAAATAATGATATAATCTAGATTTTCCATGCCACTTCAAACAAGCAGTAAGGAAGCCTCAATCGATACTAGAAAGAGAAATAACAGTTATGGATTTGAGACAATAGGCTACTAGGTCAATGAATGTCAAATGTTTCCTCATAAGGAAATGGTTGATGTTACCATTAGCATTAGAGTTAGGGAGAACAAATACTACACTTTGATCACGATCCTATAGCCAGTTAGTGAAGAACGGCGTAATTCGAGTAGCACTGGCTGCTCGGTCAATGAAGGGATAATTTTCCCTTGTAAGGAAGCAGCTAATATTACCATTACTGTTTAGTTCGACATGTCTCCCAACTATTTTCCTTTCTCCTCTTTGTAGTAATACAACTTCTTCCCTAACAAGATCAACAGGCGTGGGTGACATGTGAATGGCTTGTTCTTTTGGACAAGCAGGAAATGATTTGCTGCGTTGACATAGGAAAAACGTCAACATTATTAGGTATAATTTTTCAGTTTGTCTAGGTTTTATGTGCTCTTTTATGTGTGGCCAAGTCGTTAAATATTTAGACAAGCGTCAAGAGATATGAAATAGAAGCAGGCTGAGAAAGTATCTTACGGCAAAAAGGACGAAGCGAGAGAATTGTAGTAAATGTATTCAGTCTAAACGGGAGGATACCAAAGAAAAACGATTGAAAAGTAGATAAAAACAAGAACGAGAAAAGGAAGAACCTTGGGAAAGAAAGAAAGAGAAAGAGAAAGATTCAAAGAGTCAAAGAGGTGGAAAAATCACGAGAAAAGAAATGAAATATAGAAAAAATAAAGGACAATAAGAAAATAAAAAAAGAAAGTATTTAAAACAGTTTATATATTTTATACTCATAAACATCTTATATATAAAATACAGTGTATGTGTGTGTGTGTGTGTGTGTGTGTGTGTGTGTGTGTGTGTGTGTGTGTGTGTGTGTCCAAGCAACTCCTCCGCCCCCACTTGTTCGATTTCAATGATTCAGAGCTCATTCAAAAGCCCTAGAAAAGTTAGGCGCTGGGAACGATTTTCGTTGTCCTCAGATTCAGGGTTGCCAGATTATGCGAGGTTAAAAATATATATTATAGTGGCCATTATCGTTACTTTTATGGTTCAAAGGGATTAACTCTTATTCTCCTTTTGTATCCAAAATCGCAGTGAATGTTTTATTATAAACTAGCTTAAAAGCCGTCATATCGGTCGGCATTTAAGCTACCTCCTGTGGAGGACTCTTGGTTTGACCATCATCACAATAGGTAGGGAGAAGTAGACTATTTTATAGTAATTTACTCATTAAAGGCTCAATATCTGTATTATATATTATCTATTTCTAGGCAATGTCACCCTTCAAGTTTAATTTTCATGTTGATTTAAAAAAAAAAAAGTTTATTTCATTAATTAACTGTCTTTCATTACTGTTCTTTTATTCGATGATTGTTTTGATTTTCATATCAAAAATAGATCTGCTTAAGAAATATCGTCTTATATTGTGCAGAAAAGTGTTCGAAATTTGCATTTTACTTGCCCTTCAACAAGTTGGCATCTATTTGTAAAACTTTCCTTAACTATAACAAGCCAATTCATGAATGAAATGTTCATTTAAAATTATTGTTTCTAAGATTTCAAGTAGTGAATGTATCTTACATTGTGAAGCGACAGCGAACTGGCGAAGCAGCTAGTATTAAATATTTGTCAGATTTAATTCATTCTCTGTATGTACTCATAAGTATATACATGGTGCGGCAGAAATGCCTCCCATATACTTCCCAGAAATACTTCCCACATAATGGCAAGACATTAGCTAGATGAAGATACCACTGGTATTAATATCTTACCATTATTGGGGAGGTACACTGCAGTTCAAAAGTTTGAAGTCACCCCAGAATTAACACGGGAAGAACTTAACAGAAGAGTGAAAAAAAAAAGAAAAAAAAAGAAAAATATCTGTTAGAGTCATTGAAAAAAAGAATCGAATCAATTATCAAACTTATACTTTGAGAAAATTTGCAACAAATGCCAAAAGTTTGTTCTGCAGTAAACAAGGCTAAAGGAGGATATTTTGACGCGAGCAAAATTTAATCATAAAATTACTTTTTTTTTTCTTTTTGTCATGATAAACTTTCTAATAAAATATCATTTCTCACATTTTTTAACCATTTATAATAATTTTCTCTTAAATTACAAAACAACGATTTTTGGACCAATTTAAAAAATTATCAGGATTCCTCAAACTTTTGAACTATAGTGTATTTTATATATTCCTAAATGTTTGGGTCATCTTTTGAAACCAAAAGATCTTGTTCGTTACTGAATTATAAGAAATATTTTGCATTATACGTCCCAAATATAAAAAAAAAACATACATCATGTAAATTTTAATTTACGAATTGAATGTGGAGCAGTTGCAGCTATTGAATGTTCAGGTTATTTAGTAGTTAGTGTCTCGGAACGGGAAATCAGCGAGTAAGGTTCGAACACCAACCGAATTTTTTACATTCACTTTGGTAAAATTCTTGGTGGTTTTCTAAGCGTGACTTAGATGTGGCACAAGACCGAAAATATGGGGCACTCAGTGAGAATTGAACTTACTACTCAATCGTAATTGAACTAGCGAAACAAGCTTGTTAACCATTACACCACGGCAAGTTCCCCTGCTGGTAAAGTTATGAATGTGTCTCTTCTACACATCTTCCTGACCAGCATCTATTGGTCAACTTGCAGCGTAGTTGGCTGCTAATTTAGGTGAAAGACAACACAAAACCGTATTTGGCTCTGGTGTCGAACATAATATGTTGGCATGGAAAGATCCTAGAGTT